GAGGTTGCTGCCCTGCTAGCACTCTGGGCAGAACTGGGTGCATACCTGTGCTGCAAATGCTGTGGTTGGCAGCAACTACAAATCCACTGGTGGTGGCAGCATAAGCAAAGATGCCAGACTGCTGGGGAAGGGCAGCTGATGCACAAGTCCATTTCTGCTGCTCTCAGGAGGTGGCAGGTGAGGAAATGTAGGGGCAAACAGAAGCAACTCAGTAACTCTTCTGTGGGAATGGAGACATCTTGTGCAACCTGAGAATCAGGCAGGTCCTGAGACCTCCCTCCACAGAGCTTCCCTCTGTGCTCCTGGTCCCCTGCCATGCCCAGCAAACCTGGAAGGCATCGCTGTGCTCTCCTAAGAGATGGTGCATTTCAGCAGTGTGCAGAGGCTCTCTGGGGAGCTGGACTGCAGTGTGCCCTGAGGGCACAGGGAGAAGCTCTGTGGATCCTGGTGCTGGGCATGTTTTGGGCTGTCCCTTGACAGCAGGGGAAGCAGTATCCAGGGTTTCTCCTCAGATCCACCAACCTGTGTCCTGGCGTTTGCTGTCCACAGGCTGAACACCATCTGGGACTCAGACCGCGTGCTGGTGATGCAAGCTGGAAGAGTGGCAGAGCTGGATTCACCCACCCGCCTAAGCAAGAAGGATGGTTCCTTGTTCCAGCACCTCCTGCACAGCGGGCAGCAGTGACCTACTTCCTGGGCTGAGCCCAGGCAGTCCTCCCGGCTCTGTGTCTGCCTTCCTCATGCCTCGGCCACCAGCCCTGTCCCTTCAGGGCCAGGAGCTGCTGAGGTGAGGGAGGGGGTTATTCCAGCTTGCAGACAGTGATTGTGTGTCCTCAGGGATGGAGGATGTGGCCTTTCCTTTAGTAGGGAAGATGAGAACTGGTGTTTAGGGCCATGCAAGCATGGCTGGTGGTATACTGCTCCACTCCAAGGCTCCCCTTTGAGATTACAGAGGGGTTTTCTGCTCACAGAAGAACTGGTGACTCCTAGTCTGAGACTTAGTCTCACATGTGCAATTTAAAATAAAGTGGAAACATCCTTGTGACGCTCGTTATTCAGGTCCCTGTCCTCTTTTTCCGTCAGCCACAGACTTCCTTGTGAGATACAGGAGTGGTGCCCTCTTTGCACAAAGACAACCCTACCTCCTCCCTCCTTTTTTCAGGGGGCACTGACCTCTCCAAACAGCCCAGAAGGTTGCACCCAGGGACCCTGCTGCTCTTCCTCCAGCTTACCATGGAGAAGGCCTTCCCCTGAAGAGCCAGAACGTGATTGCATTAAAGGCCTCTAAGGCTAGTTTATTTCAAGCCTGCTTTTCCAAGGGAAACTCCCTATCACTCTTGCCCTGCTCACAGCTGCACAAACCCACATCTACTTTCAGTTTTAGAATCAGCTTGCTCTTCCCATGGGTACCCTTGGACTCAGTCTTGGGTTTTCCCCTTCTCCCCAGCACTGAGGCAACACCTAGCAGGTACACACCTTTGCTACACTGTCCTGAGGCAGGTCCCTTTCCTTCCCCTGAGGCTGTGAGAGCCATCTCCACCCCTGCAGCCAGAGCATGGGGCAAGATGACTCCTGTGCCACAACCTGGGTTTGCATTCTTGAGGGAAGTGATGGAGACATTCATCCAGAACAAGTAGCTGAGGAACCTGATCTAATTGGATCTGCTGAGAGCAGGAGGTTGGTGTCCAGAGGTCCCTTCCAACCTAAATTATTTTATGATTCTCTGATACGCTGTTTCTGGGCTTGTATTTGTTTTATTTGATAAAGGTACATCATCCATCCATGTATTAAAAAAATAATCTTTCTGATGAAGCCCCAGTCCCCTCTCCCAGGTCTCCCTCCTGGTTAAGTGCTCACTCCTCTGTCTGTTCTCTTCATCTTACTATCTTGAACCCAGCTCTGCAACCCTACAGGCCAGTAGTCCGGTTTGAGTTGTGGGATTTTTTACCCCACTGCTTAGCCCTCTGTGCCCAGGAGGAGGCACGGAAAACCCTGGCCCTGGCAGAGAGATGCTGATTGCTGCACACCAGACCAGCACAGGCAGGAGCAGACTTAGTACAAAGGCTAAGCAAACCTGGCCATCTACTGCTTCTTAGTTGTGCTTTAGCAATGGTGGAGAAGACTGTCGTATCTACTTCCTGTGGTCATCCCAGGCTTGGTTGCCTGTCCTCACATCCACTGTGGGAAGCTGAGCCTTTATTGTATCAAGAAACGCTACAATGACTGATTTGAGGTTAGTGCTAGCTGCCTGCCTTGGAGCGACTGGGAGAGGAAAGGAGGATCTGGATCTCGTATTGCTCCTGAACCAGCCACAGCACATTTCCAGCCTTGTCCATCTCCAGTTTCACCTGTGAGGGCATATGAGGAAGACCAGCTCAGGCTCAGAACACCCCAGAGGGGAGCTGGCTGTGCTCCTCCTCGTCAGCAAACAGGGAGGCAGAGGTGCACGCTGGAGACGGGAAGGAGCTTGGTCGGTTGCAGCCAGAGCAGAAAGGACGGCTTGGTAAGTGGGGGGAGAAGACCCCTGGATCATCAGGAGGAAAGTACAGAACATGTTTGTAACCCCAAGACTGACAGCAAGAGGAGGGAGCATCACCCAGGGCAGAAGGCGGCCACGAAGAGACTCCAGATGATCTCCAGAGTCTCCTTGAACTGGCTCACAGAACCACAAGACCAGGGAGCAATGGTTTATGCTCACTCCCGAAGGACATGGCATCTGGAATGACAGCCTCCAGAAACAGCCAGGAGCCACCTCATCCAGTGCTGGGGCAGCGAGGCCTGTGCAGCCACAACCGTCCTGAAGGCCCCAGAAGAAATATCCCAACACCAGCAGAAACAAGGACATAAGCCCCTTCCAGTAGTCACAGAGAGGAGTTACAAAGGGTCTGGCAGAATCTGGGCTTGCAAGAAGGCTGTGCTCTCCTCAGCACTATCCATCCCATTTCTGAGCGCTCCATCGGATGACACCAGCACTGCATGGCATGGGCTGTCACAAGTGACACATTGCTGCTGCCCTGCAGGGCTGGCCCAACGCATCCCTCCTTTCAGGTGCCTGTGGGTGCCAGCCGCACTGGCTGGGGGAGGAAAGCAGGGCCATCAAACCAGTGCTCGATGCCCAGAGGTTTCATTGACGCGTTCGCTGCCCTGGGAGCCCTTCTCTGTTGCTTGGCTCGTGCCGGCACAGTTCCCCGGGGTGCAGTTCAAGGGGTTTGCCTGCTCGATGAGCTGCCATCAAGAGTCCTCACAGCTTACAGCTCTGTCGTCTTCCTGGGCTCGATCAGGACAGTGTTGAGCATGCCCACCTGACATTCCTGGTCTTGGAGCTTCCTTGAAGCCTGAGAAGGGCTTTGGCACCAGTTTGACCTCTGACGGCCTCTCTGCCAGTTCCTCAGCATTAGCAGGACGGTGATGAGGACCAGCACTGCTGTCAGCACCCCGAACACCAGCACTGTCACCAGCTGGGCTTCACTCAGCCCGGAGTCCCTTTGGGTCACCACCTCCTTCACGGAGATTTTCAACAACCCCCCCCCCGGCTCTTTCTCACTGTGGTTGGCCACACGCCGCCCCGTGACCACGGTCCTGACAGGCTCTGGCTGTGTCACCCCTGGCATCTCGCTGGTGGTGCTTTTCACACTCCCACCATTCTCATGGTCCACAGGGTGGTAGGGAGCAGCCCAGGTGGGCTCGGGGACGGAGATCTCGCAGGTTTTCCCAGTGAAACGGTCAGGACACAAACAGTCATAGTCATTGACGCGGTCATAGCACTTTGCCCCGTTTTTGCATGGCTGGCTGGCGCAGTCATTGATGTTGATGGTGCAGAAACGCCCTTCAAAGCCTACCTGGCACTGGCAGGAGAAGCGGTTGATCCCATCGTGGCAGGTGGCACCATTGGCACAGGGACGCATCAGGCAGTCATCCACGTCATTCTCACAGAGAGCCCCCACAAAGCCAGCGAGGCACCGGCAGGGGGAGGAAAAAAAAATCGTCTTGACACTGCCCCCCGTTCTTGCACGGAGACCTGCGCGCAGAGAGCAAGGATGGGTCATGGCCCTGGAGAGCAAGCAGCTTCCCCCACCCCAGGGAGGTAAAAACGCACAGCTGCTCGCATGGCCAGTGGGTCCAGCACCAACTCTCTCCATGGGGGCAGCTATCTCAAGGAGAAGACTGGGCAGGAGTTTCCAACTCCCCAAGTGAGAGGCTCTGGGACCTCCTCAAAGGCTGTGGCTGTGCACAGGCCCACCACCCACCAGGGAGGGTCTTCAGCTAAATCACCCGAAGAGGAAACATGCCCTCCTGATGCTCCCCAAAGGCACCTACAGCAGCAAGGGATGGGAATCTGTTCAGATTGCAACAAAGGCCTTGCCCCGGTGGGACCGTGCGGTGCATACAGCTAAACCAAAACCAAAGATGGTTTTGGCTTAACTCCATTAGCACACAGAAATCCACAGATAAAGAGCCAAGCTGGACCACTGCTTAGCAATGCGTGATCCGAAGCTAATGCTGTCTGTAGTCTCACTGCTGTGTCTCACCCTGCCTTCTCACAAGGCCCTGTCTTCATCTCACAGTCCTTCCCATGGAAGCCTTCTGGACACAGGCAGGAATATTCCCCATCTCGATCGTAGATACACTGAGCTCCGTTCTGACATGGGGACTGGTGTTCACAGATGTGTATGTCTGAGGGGAAAGAAAAAGAATTAGTGAGAAAAGAGGAGTGATGTGGCCAATTCAGTTTGAATACAGCCTGTCAAATCCAGCGACGAAGGAGAAATGGTAGGAGCTCCTCCCTCCACTCCAAAGGGCACCTGCAGCAATAGAAGCGCAGTGCCTACGTGGTGTCTCGCAACCACAGTCTGCAAAATGCACAGGCTTAGGGGTGCGGAGAAAGCAAATTGTCCTGCAAATCTGTACGGCATGAAGATGCTGCGCATGCCATCTGGCCGGCCAGTGCAGACCCCGTGTGTGGCACAGAGGAGCCTCTCAGGCTGGAGGAGGGGAATCCATCCACCTGCTGAAGGCAGGAAGCCCTGGGGGAAGCAGGAGGTGCTGCCCAGAGTCCAACTGCAGCGTGGGAAAGGCAATGAGTTAATCTGCTCCGTTTCCTGAGGCTGGAGGGTGTCGTGGCAGCTCTTGCTGCGCAGCCAGGGAGCTGGTGCTGGCATCCTGACCTCTTCTGCAGGAAGGGGACAGTCCCAGCTGTGGCAGCCAAGCAACATCCCATCTCCACCACAGCCCAGGCGGCATCACCCAGATGGCTTCTGGCTATGCTGGCTCACCCATCCATGCAGCATGTGCTGGGCTTCTGCCCTCAGCACCAGAGGCTGGGACATCCAGCCCATGACTTACCTTTGTCACAGAACTTGCCAGCCCAGCCAGTGTGACAGATGCACTGCCAAGGCTGGTGGCACGTTCCGTGGAGACACCCCGGCATACGCACGCACTCCTCGCAGTACTCCCCCTCCCAGCCTGGATCGCACCTGCAGGAGGACAGGGCATGGCAGCGTGATAAAACCCAAGCAGGGGCTGCTATACTCAAAACAGCATGAAACTAAACCTAACAAAAACGTGGTCTCTAGAGTAAGCAAGGAGGTTCATTTTCATGGCTGGAGCTTATTTCAGCGTGATGTGTAGTGACTGTGGTTTTGCCAGGCCAGTCCGAGGCTGCACTTTCACACTCGGACTGGTGATTGTCATTGCAAGTTGTTCCAAAGAGATGCGGAAAATGGTTAAAAAAATAAATACGTACATTAATTACAGGCTTTTTGATGGGAATGGAGGTGATACCATGTGCCTGATAAGAGTCTGGGGAAATGCATTCATACCTGGGCAGCCATGAGCTTACAAAGGGCTATGGGCAGGGCACCCCTACCCCCCAGTACCCACAGGGAGCAAGCACCATCAACTCTTCTCCTTCCCTAAAAGGGACATGGCCAACCTAAAAATTGCCAGGGAGAGGGCCAGGTAAGCAGCCAAGTCTCCCTGAGGTTTAGGGTGATTTCAACAGGGTACTGCCAAGCTGCTGAAAGGTTCAGCAAATGCTAACTGCGAGTGACCTGAAATCTGGAGAAGCAACTCACGTGTGCCTCCACTGGAAAAACCTGTAGCTGGGCCACCTGCCGCATAGACAAGTACAATGTCTCTGACCAGGGCTTCGCAGCACCGAGCTCCCTGGACTAGCCACAGCTGCTGAAAAGGCTCAGGGAGGAGCAAGCTCTTTGCAGCTGCAACCAAGGACCCAGCAAAACCAGAGTTGGATGCTCCTTGATACGGTTATGGCCATGTGCTGTGCAGATGTCCCAGCCTTGAGCTTCCCAGCCATCACCAGAAGGCCACATCTGCTCCATTAGGCAAGAACAAGTGTCCCAGGCATGGTGTGACACTGGGAGTCGTACTGCAAAAGGGGGCTGAGTGTGCCCCAGCAAGGAGGACAGAGTAGCGGTGGGTAGTCTGTCCCCTTCCAGCACGGATGTTCAGGCCAGCCCAAAGCAATCTGCTCCTCCCAGGACTGCCCTGCAGGATGGGGGCTCCGGGTGGCCCTACGGTGGGACGAGAGGCAGTGTCCGGGGCCATGGCAGCCCTGGGCAGCCACGTGGTTGTTTCCCAGGCTGAAGTGCAGGGTCACGCTCTGAGTTTTGCCCCTGCAGGATCTGGACACCAGCTGGAGGTGGGATGCAGGGATCGTGCATGCACTTATGCTGCAGTAGCCCCCAGCTTGCTGATGAGTCCTTTATGAAAACAGACAGAGATTGCCACCACAGCCCAGGCTTCTGGGAGGGGACCTTGGATGCCCTCAGACATTTATGTGCATGCCAGCAGCTCTTCTATTCCATGTCCCCAGGGAGAGCATGCCCGTCTCAACCAGTGAGGGGGCCAAGCAAGGTGGCCACCCTGCAAGCCTGCCCTGCTGCCTGATGACTTTCCCCATCATATTGGAACCTGAAGGCTGCCTCTCATCACCCAGGCATGCCCAGGCTGTCCTAAGCTCCCATCTAGACAAAAAGGGCTCAGCAGAACAACATCAGTCAGTGTGTGGCAGAAGGGGCCCTGGAAGCACTGGAGCAAAGGCTGGAGGGGACCAGCGAGAGGCTGAGGGATTACAATTTCCCACTCTATAGGGTGTCAGGTAAAAAGGGAGCAGAGCCGTCGACTCCAGGTGTGGGTGAGCAGAAGAGGAGGTGCTTCAACTCGAGGCAGGGGTGTAGGCACAGCGGACACAGCATCAAGGGAGGGAGAGCAGTTATGGTCAGAGGCAGCAGGAGCAGAGGGTGAAGGACAAGCCATACCTGCACTTTCCATCCTGGTCACAGCAGCCGTGGGCGAGATTACAGCGCTCACTGCAGTCATCACCTACAAGGCAAGAGATGGGTGGAACTGGGTTAAGCAGAGACCACAGATGACTCCAGATCTGCCATCTGCCTGTGGCCCTGCTGGCTCACAGCTTTATTTTCCCTCCTAAGTGCTCAGCCTGCTCTTCCCCAGAACTGTAAGGTGGGGGACCTTCCTTTCAACAACTAGATACCACACGAGAGATGAGGATTTCAGTGTCACCCAAGCATCGATAACTGCCTCTGTTGACACATTGGACCCTGCTTCAAGACTACCCAGTCTCTGATAATTTTCTCCACCCTCTCACTGCTGCTTCCCTTAGACTTCGGGCCCTTCTGGGCAAAAGCAGGGGTTGCCCATGCATTAAGGCAACCTGTGTAACAGTGCCTGACCCACGTGGGACCTTGGTCCCACAGTCATGCAGCAAGTATTGTGGGAAAGGTCAGGGCCAGGTGCCGCAAGGGGCACAAAGGGATGGAGGATGGCAATGGAAAGAATAGCTCCTTTTTATCTCCCAGGACATACTCATCCCTAGGGATAGCTATTGGCATGGAGCAGTCTGGTCAGGGCTCCTGCCCTCCTCAGGACCCAGCTGCCAGCACTCTCCTGCCGGTGTGCAGAGGCAGGACTGGGCATTGCACAGGCCAGGTATCCAGTTCTGTTTATTTATTTAAAGGCAACAGAAGCTGTAACTGAGCCATGGCCTCGCTGTGTCGCTTCTCATCCTCCACTCGGCACTGGCCTGCTTTCTCCATCCAGATATCCCCTTTCATCTCCACCTTCCCCTCTCCCCCATCATTTGCTTGCATGTTAGCCCGACAGGGAGCTGGCTTGTTCTGGCTCCATGGGCAGTAGAGCTAGAGCAAACGTCAGGAGGCAGGGGGTTTCTCCAGGATCCTGGTGAGATCCCAGGCCAGGCCAGAAGACGAATGCCCTTACCTGACTGAGCCCCTCCATCTCAAACTGAGGCAGATTAAAGCCCCCACGCCAAGAGACATGCTCAGGCTTTCCCCAAGTTGCGTGATGTGCTGCCTAGGAAGCAAGCAGGGGGAGAAATCCCCCATGCACGCATTTTTGCTGCAGTGAGGCAGCAGGTCCCACTGCTTAGGATAAGAGCCTCCCAAAACAAGCCACTGTGGAGCTAGAGCAGCATCCTGGGACTGCTCAGCCCAAGCCTGGGTATCGTCGCCCTTCCTATTTGTAACCGTCTCTCCTGGCAGATGGCTTTGGGAATTCAAAAAAGAAAGAGCAAACTAAGCTTTGGCAAGGGATTTTGTCTCACGGGATCCAGGATTAGCCGTTCGCTTTCGGGATCTTCTTTCCCCCTCGCCCTGCCTCTCCAAACAGGCTCATCAGCTCAGGGACCCATTCAGCCTAACTGTGAGTGACAGAGCAATGGGACTTCTCACTGCCAGTCCGCTCAGGCACCGCCACCCCTATGGGCATCAGAGCGGCGGTCTCTACAGTTGCCATGAGTCACCATCCAGGTGCTGGATGGCTGAGCAGCATTTTCAAGTCTTCCAGGCCAACTCTATTTTGCATGGAGAATTGAGAAGACTTCAACAATGCCAAGGACAGGTTTGGAAAGATGGATATAAAAGAGAAGGACCCATATCTACACAGACTTACCTTGGGCAAGCTGGTGATGGGCCAAGAGAATCCAAACCAAGGACATGAGCTGGAGACAGAAGCTCCTGAGCATGGTCAGTGTGGCCCCACCGAGATGGACACCTATAGAGAGAAAAAGAGTAAGCTCAGAAAAATCCCCTGGCTTACATTGCAGCTTCACTTCACGCATCCCTTCCTCTCTGCTACCTGGGAGGTTTGAGTCGAAACATCCAATTTCGTACAGACTTGTCACCGTAGTCCTCTCTGTCCTTCTAGGCTCCTTCCTCTAAGGCAACATTGAAGCACCAAGAACCAAAAACCCTTTTAAAATGTGTGTATGGAAGAACTGAGTGCACACATTCAATCCTGAGCGTGTAACAGCTCAGGCTGCTACACTGCATCTTGGAGCACCTGCCCCTGCTAGCTGCTGTCAAGAGAGCAGAAGCCTCCAGAAACACCAGTCCAGCTGTGGAGACCTTCGTCTTCCCTCCCTAGGTCTGGGGGGCTTCAGCTTCTTGTTAAGCAAGGTCCCTCCTCTGCATGCTCAAATGAAGAGATGAAGTGAGTCTTTTTACAGTGCCCAGGCTGCTTTTCAAGTCCTTCAGGAGGGCAAAAAGTCAAGTAGATCTAGTAGATGAGCCGGTGGTAAATGGCAGCCCCTTCCAGACTCAGGGAGTGAAGTGATAGGCACTCAGACCTGGGCTGCAGCCCCAGGTAGGAAAGGCAAACACACACCTCTCACTAGGTGCGGTCCTTTTCCTCGGCTGTCCTGCAGAGAGCCCCGTCAGCCCAGGGTTCCTGCACCCATCCTATTTTTCCAACCGCCTCCTGCCCTCTTGAAGTAACATTAAATACTTTCCAAAAATGCTTCATTCCCTCCCAGCCTTCTGGGTTTGTTAAGAGCAGGAAATTCGAAGGTGATATCATAAATATATTACTATAATGAGATGGGAGGGGTTAAGATATGCAGCAGACTCCATCCAGCTGTGTGGGTTTGATGGACAGAGGCTATTCTACTTTCAGCTTGACTCTTTAGCTCGGGAGGGTTGTGTTGGGTCGAGAGTTGCACGAAAGACTTCTCAGATGGGGTGAGAAGTCCTCCCACCCACACGTACACACGCATTGCAGGAAGAGGTTTTAGGGTTCCTACTACAGACTTCACGTGCCTGGACCAGACAAAATAGCCCACAAAAAAGCAATGATGTTGCTCGAAGCATCTCTCCAGCAAACAAACCATCACCTACAAAGGACGCGTTTTCAGAGGAGCTACAGGATATTACTGTCACTATCCCAGCCAAATCCCAGCATGGACCGCTGCATCCTCCCTCCACACGGTTCCCTGGGCAGTGGCAAACAGCTGCTGCATTTCAGGGGAGGGTGAAGCAGTTACTATGAAACTTACAAAATAATTTAGGGCTGAACGGTTGGTATCCTGTTCCTTCAGGGCTGTGAGGAGTTCAACCTCTGACCACATGTCACTGCAAAGGTCCTTTCCCCCACTGCTCCCCACAGCCTCCTCACTGGAGATGCAGCCTCTCAGACCTCCTGATGGAGCCACCCTACGGGCGCTGCTCCCGGCACCCACTCAGGGGCTTCCCCGGACCCCAGCAAGGTGCCAGGGGCATCCGGGGGGGCAGCCGGTGCCCGAGGGAGGTGCGAGCAGCACTCAGGCAGGCCTGGCTTTGGGTCGCAGGGACACAGCGGGAGGAGCTCCCTCCGTCCCACTCCTCCGCTAGAGCCTGGCCGGGTTGGGGGCTACCAGCCCCCCAGGGGCTGCAGGCTATTAGAGACGCCCTCGGGAGCTACTAACCTGCCCCTCGGGGGGTATTAGGAACCTTCGTACGGTTGGGGGCTACCAGGGACAACCCCCGGAGGGGGGCTATCAGGCACCGCCCCCTAGACTGGGGGCTATCAGGGACCCCTCCGGG